TTCTGTATTGTGGTGTGCAAAAAAAGAATAAATAAATAAATAAATAAAAAGATGTAAAATTCCATCAAACCAAACATGATATTCCATTATATGTCTTCTTCTTTTACCTAGCGTTTATACCGGTTGCTCATCCCGCCCAACACGGGAGAACCCAGGGTCCGCTTTCCTACACTGCCTCCTCCACTTTGCCCGGTCTTCGGCGTCCCTCGCAACTAGCCCATTGGCGCGCATGTCATCCTGCACGACATCAAGCCAGCGTTTCTTGGGCCGTCCTCTACTCCTGGTACCAGGTAGGGTCATGTCCAGGCATTTGTTTCCCACGTAGCTTGCCGGTCGTCGTAAGACGTGGCCGTACTAGCGGAGGCGACTTTCCTGCAGCTTATCAGCAATGTCACGGACATGGAGGCTGCCGCGGATGTATGTATTCCATACATGGTCTTTCCGCGTGACGCCACACATCCACCGCAGCATGTTCATCTCCGTGACATTCAACAACTGCCTGTGTCGCTCCAGCACCGGCCACGCCTCACTGCCGTACGTAAGGACAGGCCTTATGATGGTCTTATAGACCTGTCCCTTCAGCTTGACCGGCATTTTGGGGTCACAAATGACACCCGTCACCTCGCGCCATTTCGCCCAGGCCGCTGATATACGGGCCTTGATGTCGCGATCGATGTCCCCGGACGCATCAAGCACAGATCCGAGGTACCTGAAGTTGTCCGTGCGCTCGACGGTGTCGTCGCCTATACGAAGAGACGTCAGATCTCTGCTGTTGCAGGCCATATACTCCGTCTTCGCTACGTTTAGCTTCAGCCCGCCGTTATCAAGCGCCTTCCTCCATGCGTGCAAGCGTCTGGTGAGCCGTTCTTTGTCCCCATCTACCAGTGCGATATCATCAGCGTACATAAGCAGCCAAGGCTGCGGTAGTTTCTGTACGCTGGCTGACAGTTCGTCTAATATCACACTGAAGAGATAGGGGCTTAAGACGGAGCCCTGATGCACGCCTACGGTTATGCGGAAGGGGGTGGTCACCAACAGCGGTCCTGACTATTGAATCGGAGTTGCGGTACATGTCACGTACGATTTCCACGTAGGTTTCTGGTACCAACTTCGACCGCAACGCCCACCAGATAATCTCCCTAGGAACACAGTCAAAGGCCTTCTGCAGGTCTAGGAATAAAAAATGCAGAGGCATATTCTTTTCCCTGTGCTTCTCCATGAGGATCCTTAGGGCGAATATAGGGTCCATGGTACCGCGTCTTGGTTGGAAACCGTACTGGGAGTCCGATACTGTACACTCCTGTCGGATCCTGGTGTCAATAATGCGCTCGAAGAGCTTCATGGTGTGTGACGTCACCTTTATACCGCGGTAATTACCGCAATCCTGAACGGACCATTTACCCTTGTGGACCGGCGTTATTACACTAAGCCGCCACTGATCGGGCATTATTCGGTCGCTCAGGATTCAATTATAAATGTTAGTAAGAATGCACACACCACGAGCCCCTAGCGATTGCCACGCTTCAATTGGCACCTCGTCCGGTCCGACAGTTTTCCGATTCTCTATGTGACGAAGAGATGCGAGAACCTCGTCAGGCGTGATCGGTGGCACGAGTCCTTGGTTCGGGAGTTGTTCGGGAGGGTACACTTCACACAAAACGTGGAAATAAGAGCGCCATCTCTCCTTCACTGCACGATCATCGTGCAGGAGCTCGCCATTAGGGCCGTTGACGCTGCAGCAGCGAGTAATATCTTGCGTTGCTTTGGCTCTAGAGCGCGCCCGTTTATATATGAGCTTGTGCCCCTCAGGAATGTCCAACTTAGCATATAATGGTTGCAAGTGGTGACGCCTGGCTCTGGCTACATCTTTCTGGGCAGCTCTTTTCGCTGTCTTGTAAGATGCGCGATCTTCAGGAGATTTGGTCGCTTGCCACGTCTTGAAGAGCGCTTTCTTCACCCGTAATGAACCCTGGACTGTGGCGTCCCGTCACGAGGTCTCCTTGTCGATTTTGCGACCCCCTTTCGCCACGCCGAGGACTTGCTTTGCCGTCTTTGTGATTGCTGTCTGAATGGTTTTCCAGCACTCTTGGACGGACTTGTCTGCTGTGTCGAGACTTATATACCCAGCGGCAGAGTCAAACTCTGAGTATCTGGTTTGATCCAGCAGCCACCACTTGATTTGACGGCGGCAACGTTCGGCGTGTCTGCGACGGGGTTTTACGCAGAGGTCCATGACAAGAAGTCGGTGTTGGGCAGTGAGACACTCACCGGGTATGACCTTACAGTTGGCCACGCGACTGATATGACTTCTTCTGGTCAGTAGATTGTCGATTTGAGTGGCGTTCCGACCGCTCCTGTAGGTAATCAGGTGCTTGGTTTTCTTTTTGAAGAACGTGTTCACGACGGCCAGGTCAGCTGCAGTGCAGGTTCTGAGAATGGTTTCCCTCTCTGGGTTTCTTCGGCCGTAACCATAGCCGCCGTGGACACGTTCATACTCCCCCCTGCACCTCGCCCACATGACCGTTCAGGTCGCCACCCAAAACGACATCGTGGGACTACGGTATGCCGCACAGTACATCTCCGAGCCGATCCCAAAACAGCGTCTTATCCGCGTCGCTGCAGCTGACCTGTGGGGCGTAGGCACTTATTAAGTGGGTCACGACCCCCTCAATAAGCAACCTTACAACCATAAGTCGGTCGCATATGCGTCTAACTTCCAAGACGCTATCGTGGAAATGCTCGGCGAGCACCACTGCTACACCGTTCTCCCCACCAGAAGAGCCTGTATAGATCAGCTTGTAGCCATGCCCAATATTCCGGCTCCTGTTAGCCTTCCACCGTGTCTCCTGCAGGAATGCCACTACACATTGAAATAATACTAGTTTTACGGAATTTATCGCGTATATTTAACTTTTTAATTACCCGACGTTTTCGAGAGCTTTACAGCACCCATGGTCACGGGACGGACTGAGATGTTCAACGTCCAGCTGTCATAGTTAACCGCGGTTACCATAGATTAAAATTAATCGGAACAAAAGTTAAATTTTAATCTATGGTAACCGCGGTTAACTATGACAGCTGGACGTTGAACATCTCAGTCCGTCCCGTGACCATGGGTGCTGTAAAGCTCTCGAAACGTCGGGTAATTAAAAAGTTAAATATACGCGATAAATTCCGTAAAAACTAGTATTATTTCAAGGAATGCCACTGCCACTTTACGCCTGGCAAGTATGGCCGCAAGTTCTGTGGAGCGTCCCGTAAGCGTGCCAATGTTCCAGTTTGCAAAGCGAATCTTCGTAGTTAGTGCTAACGTCTTTAGCCGGGCTCGCACGAGACCCGGTAGCCCTCGCATACTTGTCGCAGGGTTAAGGCGATACCCATGCGCGTCGTTATACGGCGTCGCCCTAGTCCTAAACGTATATCTCTTTCTTTTACTTTCCATTTTTGAGTGGCTTAGTGCCAATTACCGAGGCGACAGCTGTCTGACCCCCGAACCCCTAGGACTAATCCCAGAAGAGTGGCATCGCCAGAGCCCTTTCCCTTGTCCAGCAGGTGCGCCACGTGCAGGCGGGGTAGGCTTGGGCTCCAAGATCTTAGCGGAGCCCCTTACACCCAAAATTATATGTGATATTCTATAAATTTTTGTTATTGAATACATTATAATATGTTAGTGTTCATATGCACAGTAGAAATTTCAATAAAAAATCTAAAACTGCAATGTTTTCCAATTTAATGTTGATGTGGTTTACGATCAAATGGCGAGAAGATGCAGCACAAAAGCACTTTCTATAGAAGATGACGAGTACAAGTATTTCGTAATATTTTAGATTTATCTGCAATAATGCTTTGGCGTTTGTGGTGTTGGTGGCAAAAAATTAAAAACAAAAAGTATTATTTATCTACAGTTGGCGGTCAAACTGAGTAACATTTTAGAAGAACCCACACTAACATTTTATGGCCTCAGAAATGCCAGCTGCTAAGTTGATAAAGAGGCGTAATTTCTATCAAACTCACTATAAAAATAAAATCAAAAAACGTGTGACTTATGTAAAAACGTTCATGTGGCAGATGCATGTTAACAAAAATCTTCATATTATGTTGTACCTTAAATATTTTTTATTAAACACCTATTTACACTGGTAAATTTTTTTAAATAAAAATATATCATTTGCCTTTGTAACAGTGAATATTGCCTATTATTTCTTGAATTATACTATACATATATGCATAATTAGAGACTAGGTAGCAGTGATGGGTATAATGACCTTTGACCGCCTTTGTAGGTTAGCTGTTTACCCCGTCGTGCTAGTGTTAATTCTATATCTTGTTAGTGTATCTTGCTAGTATTAGCAAGCATCAGCTTCATAATGTTAGGGTGCCAATGTTTCACATGCCATTTTTATAAACTTACTTATTCAGAAACCTGAAATTAAGAAAATTAGCTCAATTACATCGTCATTTCATCTAGCTTCAAATAAGAGATTACATAAAAAATAAACATTTACAATCTGTTACAATCAAGGCATGATTGAAAAGGCGTGTGTTAGGCTAAAACAGTGGAATTTACCATCTAGCGCTAACTCTCACCGCCAGGTGGAACTGTAGTCGAGTCCTGGCTTATAATAGATTAGAAAAATACGGACATAGCCAAAGTCCTTCTTGCCTAGGCTGGTAGTTTGCGTGCAGCACTTTAGCAATAGCTATTTTTTTTTTCAATACTAAATATAATGGATATCTATTTTAATTCAATTTCTTTCAGCTTGGATATGCTCTTAATTTCCATTTCAAATTTCAAATACAAATAAAAAATATTAAACCTTAAACTATTACAAGAAAAAACATATTATATCTCCTTTATTTGTTCATTTGTATATGTTATCAAGTCTGTAATTCAATGTATTACATAGTTGCCTTTTCGTATCTGTAATATACATATTAAATATGATTTAACTTAAGGTGCAAGATAAATACAATCTGATTAATTTCTTGTTTTGTTACAGCTTAAAGATTCGAGTCTCGTGCAAATAGTGAAAAGCGATTCCTGCATAGAAAGTTTGACTGTAGCAAACAACACCCATGTAACTGGGCTATTCCTTACCGGATCTAACCCGCGGAAGCTCTCCTATCTTGCATTTTACAATTGCTACAGTCTTCAAGGTGCAGTATTGACTGCAGCGATAGATTTAATACCATGTCTTACCGTACTCAAACTGGATGCCTGCCCCGATACAATGTGGAAGATTATTCCCTTAATACTCAAAAAAGTGCCCAAGCTGCAAGAGTTATCACTCAGTGAATACACTTCATTAGATATAGGCCCCAAACTGTATGATAGTGAAATGTTCTGTGAATCTCTATCAAAATTAACAGAGTTAAGAGCTTTGAATCTGAGTAAAAACATTTACATTACCAATGCTGTACTAGAACAAGTGGCTCGGTCGTGCCCTAAGTTAACAGCATTAAATATATCCAGCTGTAACTCGAGGAGGAGTTATTCTCATGCAGGTAACAATAGTAATTTTTTTTATAATAATTTTACACTAGGGAAATATTTAGTTTAGTTTACGACGGGCTGTTTTCCGCAACTCCACGTCTAAGCGCGTATTTTGCGTGTGGGCAGGAATAATGTGGTTATTCGAGCCTTGATATTTCCCCGAAGAAGTTCAACAGTCCTTTGATGTTGCAAGCAACTTCGGGGGAGCGATCCCGGCGTGCCGATATGTTTAGCCCTGTACGAAGCGACTTCTGGACATGTCAACAACACGTGAGCCGCCGTTTCTTCCTCTCCCATGCATGCCCTGCACAGGGGGCTATCAGTAACACCTAGGGAAATATTATCTATACAAATAAATAACATTTGTCTGTTTGTAATATCAAAATCATAGCTTTTTACTAAATTCATATTAAGTACGAGGGTGGATTGAAAAGTACTCGGCCTAACCAAGAAAATAAACACATACTAAATCAGTTATATTTTTATTTTTCTACATAATCACCATCAAGTTCAATACACTTTTGCCACCTCCCCTTCCAAGCATTTAGACCGTTGAAAAAAAAATGATTCTTCCTTAGAGTCAAAATATGCGTCTACAGCTGCTTTGACCTCGTCGTTTGTCGAAAATCTTTGACCTCCCAAGTGCTTTTTTAGGTTAGGGAACAGAAAGAAGTCTGATGGTGCCAGATCAGGTGAATACGGCGGATGCGGTAACAGTTCAAAGCCACAGTTGTGAACTTCAGCCATTGACTGTACTGACGTGTGAACACGGGCGTTATCTTGATGAAACAGGACTTTTCTTCTGAGCATTCCTCGACGTTTTTCTTTTATTTCCTCTCGTAAACGACGTAGTAAGGTGCAGTAGTAATCAGAGTTTATAGTCTGACCCCTTTCAAGATAATCAATCATAATCACACCTTTTGAGTCCCAGAATACTGAAGCCATCACCTTATTTGCCGACAAAATCGACTTAGCCTTTTTTAGGGGGTGGTGAACCAGGTCTTCTCCACTGTTTTGATTGTTGTTTTGTTTCCGGTGTACAGTAATGAACCCATGTTCGTCCATAGTAACAAAACGATTCAAAAAATCATCTGCATCGGCTTCAAATAACTCCAAACAGTCGCGTGAAATAGTCAATCGCGTCCTTTTTTGTTCAACTGAAAGCAGTCGCGGAACCCACCTCGCAGACACCTTGTGGAAACCCAACTCGTTGACAATGATGTTTTGAGTTCGTTCATAAGAGATGCCTATAATCTCGGCTATCTAATTTTTAATCTGCGGTCTCCCATTATTAAATCAAGTACTTTTTTAATATTTTCGTCAGTAGTTGACGTCGAAGGCTTTCCAGAGCGGGGTTCATCTTTCACACTCTCTCTACCACGCTTAAATTCTGCTATCCATTTTTTGACGGATGAATATGACAGAGCACAATCGCCTAATGTACTGACAATGTCATCATGGATGGCTTTTGATGATAGCCCCTTATTATGGAGGTACTTAACCTGCCACGAGCGCCACGCCAAAAACTCACTACCGTGTCCTGTACGCCAAAGCGAAAAGTAAACAAAAATACCTACGAAAAAAACAGTGCTGCCAAGACTTGATATATCGATAACACAAAATAACTTGTTTTTGTTGGTTTTTTATACAATAAATGAGTCTTTATAATCGGGTATGTTTTATTTAATCTTGTGCTGTCTTCCACTCTTTTTATATATGTACTTTGTACATAAATAAAAAAACAAACAATAACAATAAAATAGTAGTAAACCACAACACTACTCTCCGTCGTGATGACGTCACTGTCACGACTGGACGACAACGGCGTAGCTGACCTTTCTTTTTGAAACTTTCTTAGAGATGTAGCCGTGTCGCACGTTGTGTATTGATTTCAAAATCGATGTAACCAAAATATACAGACATCTATTCAAAATATTTTATGGCAAGGCGTAGGCCAAGTGAATCACAGAAGAAAAGTCTTACGCTCTTATGATAAAGGGGGTTTCATATGATACTGATGTTGCTAAATGATTTTGAGATTGAGAAAGAAAATCGCACAACACAAAATGAAAATTGCTCTTCATACCTTAAGTAAAGAAAACACATTTATTATTTGTAATTTTATATTATTAAAATAGAAAAGGTGCGTAATTATTCACTAATCAACAACTGTATATAGGTAATTATTCGCACTAGAAAAACCAGTCTTATAATATTAAAATCTTGGTCATGGAATAAAAAAATCAGTACTTATTACAGAAATCAACAAAGGGTACATAATTATTCAACAATTGTAAATAATTATTTGCACTAGGTCTAGTCATAAAATATTAAAATCTTAGTCTTTAACTCAATCAGTACTTAATATAGAAAACAACAATTAAAAATAATTAATAAATTATAGGTAATATTAGTCTTAAAATAATAAAAATCTTATGGAATAATAAAACATAAATGTTTAGCTGGCCAAAGCAAATTTTCTAACGTGGTAGAGCCATGCTGCAGTTATATTACGGGAGTTAGTAGTTGTAGCACGAATGGGTCGGCTCAACCGGGGAAGAACCACGCTCTCACGGAATATCGGCATCAAATAGTAGCTTAATGCTGCTGTGTTTCGTATGGTAAGTGTAGAGAACCGGAGACCCTCTTTACTGGAAACGAGGCATTCCATCTAAGTCCTCACGGGTGAGAGCGCATCTGCATTTTGATTCGTAATCGAGGATAGATGTAAATGTCTATGGGCCACAGCAACCACTTGCCATCAGGTGGACTGTGTGCTCGTTTATTACCCTATGCTATAAAAAAAGAAATTAACCGTAAAAAGACTATAAAGTGTATTCCTACCTCATTGAGGTAGAGTTAATCGAAAACGAAAAACTTTGGTTTCACGATAATTTTAAATTTCCGAAAATTCATCATCGTCGACGCTTTCCAAAATCCGAATGAGTTCTGAGGAATCGTTCATGTTGCACTGCACTAATTTTCCCGCTAATCGCTTATGACGTCATCAGTGTGTCGTCTATACTTGACCACGGCGCCCAGTGAACTGATTTTCGATGTCGCGCTAAGGATGCGCCAGAGTTGAGATATTAGATTTATTATGCGAAGATAATTTATTAATTTTTTTTTTAATTCATGTAGCTAATTATAGTTTTATATTTCTAACCTTTTGTTTTATTTAAATATCAATAATAATAGAAAAAAATAACACGTTTGAGCTTAATTTTGAATAGTTTTCAATAAATTTATGGCTAACGCATTACAACACTAGCGGTCTAACATAGACGACTTTGGCGTGCTGGACATAGTATTTGCTTAGATAAAAATCCATTTTTTTTAGTTCAATGTTTCTTAGTACTTGTGGCTCTAGAAGACTTGTTTTTTATACTCACATGTTGCTGGGTTATTCTTTTTTTGAGGGGTGTAGAATTAAAATACCAGTAATAATTTTCCAATGTCTATATTTCATATTTTTGTGGGCCGGGTTTTTTGTCATCTATAGACGTCGTTGGCGCTCAGGGCACGCGGGTGCTGGTCACGTATAGACGACTTTGGCGCTCAAAAGGTTAATGACGGCACGCTGCTCGATTTGCTCCATTCGCGGAAATTATGTCCGATTACTTTGTTAATAAATTTATAAAATCACAACTAATTATCGCACACGTTTCGAACTTCACACAATGAACTAGTCTGAACTGAACTAAATAATGTGGGTAGATTTGATTTTTAGAATTGAATGGATCTGTGTTAGGCCGAGTACTTTTCAATCCACCCTCGTATATACTTTACTTTTACTATACTTATAACAAAAAACAATTTTTGAAATTTATGTCCTGTCTGTGTTTGTTCCGTCAAATCTGATGTTATGAGGAGTAAAATCCGTGAAATCCAATCGTATTAAATTCCAGAGATGCCGCGAATTGTTGTTATGGCGAATAGTCGAATACCGATTACTCGCCATTCCTCATGGCGAATAATCGAATACTCGCTATTATTATTCGACATTAAAAAAAAGGAATATACAAAATAATTTATTTGTTATCAAATAGTAATATTACACTTGTAGTAGTCTCTTGAACTTACCCATCATTTATATGTTACTACTGTAATCTAAAAAAAATCGAAGATTATGACTATTATCATGGCAACCCTTTTGTTGTACGTAACATATTTTACGGAGAATAACCTCATTTTGTGTAAGAAATGGCGTTCAAAAGATTTTGCTTAGACAATGGAAAGGGGGATGTCGTTTCAGAAACTCATGAACTATTTTGGGAATGTTTTGAAGAATCTAAATCTACGGAAACAGAGCAAGCAGCCTAATGAAGAGCATCCCAATAATGCCATTGCTGATGAAATTGCCAACTAAATCAGGTTAGCAAAGGCTGACAGAAGTATAAACCCATTGTTTGGTGATCTTTGAGTACCAATAAGAATCGATTCTCAATTTTAAATAAGCTTGCTAAACTATACTAAAACACACCAGCAAGCTCTGTTTATTCAGAACGACTATTATCTGAGGCAGGTTTGGTTTATGAAAAAAAACGCAAATGACTTGATCCCAGTCGTGCGGAAAAATTAGTTTTTCTGCACTACAATCTACCTTTTTTTCGACTTTGAATATTACTTAAAAAGTTAATATAAATTAAAACAAATGTTTTGTTTAAAAGATAAATACAAGTAATTATTTTGTCTATCTATAGCTTTTATGGGATTATTTTATTTAGACAAATATTCGCCGAATATCCAATAATGAACACTATTACTCGCTGTTGGACGAGTAATAAAAAAATGCCGAGTAATGCCGAATACCGAATAATAGCCAGTATTCGCGACATTTCTATTAAATTCCACGCGGGCAAAGTCGAGAGAAACAGCTAGCTTAATTTATATAGTTATACAATATTACAATATATAGAAGTTGCATGTTGCAACTGTACTCCATTCTGAAACAGGAGTGGGCAGCAGCACCTTCTTGTTAACAACTCAAAATTATAAAAGTACTGCAGTTGTTTTAAAAGAAAAACGTCACCTCCACACTAGGATTTTCTTCTGTATCGTAGGGGCAGTTTACAAACACAAATTTCACAAGGGCAAACATCCAGACCCGGAACAATTACTTGCAGGCCATACAAATACTTGTCCGTGTGAGATTCGAACCCGCAGCCCTTAGCGCTGTAACTCATTACTAATCCACTGCGCCACGGAGCCGATATTGTTATTGTAATTATTGTAATTTCTTAACTACAGGCGTGGGTGACGAGGGCTTATCCGCCATTTGTCGTTCGTGTTTGGATCTGTCGCGGTTGGACGTGTCGTACCTGGCGGCACTGAGCGACAATGGGCTAGCTGCAGCGGCTCGGCTGACTTCGCTCACCTCACTCACTGCGAGAGGCAACGCCGCGCTTTCCACGCAGCCGTTCTCTCTTTGCCTTGCCTCGTGCCACTATCTCAAGGTAAGCCTTTGCCTCGCCTCATATCACAACCTCGAAGTAAGTATATTGCCTCGTGTCATAACCTCGAGGTAAGTCTTTGCCTCGCCTCGTGTCACAATCTCAAGATAAATATTTGCCTCACTTGTGTCACAACTTCGATGTAAGTCTTTGCCTGACTTAGTGTCACAACCTCAAGGTGAGCTTTGCCTCGCCTCATGTCACACCTCAAGGTAAGTCTTTGCCTGGCCTTGTGTCACAATTTCGAGGTAAGTCTTTGTCTGGCCTTGTGTCACAACCTCGAGGTAAGACTTTGCCTTTGCCTTTTCATGTCACAACCTCAAAGTAGACTTTTCCTCGCTCCATACTACAGTGTTCTGACAGATAAGTATATTAGGAAGTGCTTGAATTCCTAGAAAAGCTAGTTTGGCATTCAAGCTAATCATGAGCATAGTTCTTGTCTGTCTACACATTTGAATTTTTACCATGCTGCCAAAATTTGATCGACTCCTACTCAAGACTTGTTGAGAGCAAAAACTTCAATTTACTACTAGATGGACGCGACGGTACTAATAAAAGCACTGTTACGGTCAATTCTGCGTAACCTATTTAGTCGACGCTGTTCAATTAAGTATGTAAATTTATTTCATATTAGCCTAAAAAGACTTGCGTGGCTTATTTACCGTGCCAGCTGCGCACCCGCCCGGTCTACAGCTGTGTCACAGTTTTTGTTCTGAACTGCCACCAGTAGTATACACAGAGAAGTTTTTGATTACCAGAGCATCTGTTAGTAATTCACACCGAACTGCAGCAGACATAACATTAACTCAACGTGTCATATTATAAAAAATATTTAATATTTCATGGGTGAGTTATAAACAACTACGCTCGCCGAGTCTTATTATCAACTACTTTAATGATAACGCCAGTAAAAAAAGATAATCTTAAGAAAGTTATTAAATATCTAAGTTTACGTTATCACCTTTGGATCCCCATTTTTTCGCCGATCTGACGTTTTACGTCCAGCATATAAGAGCTAGGATATCCTCATTGGTTAGTGACGACTGTTACGGCCCTGAGTTACCCTGACAAAAGTCGATTGAGCTAGGGCCTACAGTAGCCGAGTAGACGAGTAACAGAGGGGAGGGTCCAATGACCTATGGATAATTAAATTATAACGGTTAGATACGGAACAAAAAATACGGAACAAAAAAAATACGGAACAAAAAAAATACCGATCTATAAAATAAACTGGTAGGAGTTAAGATCTTTCAACACGTCAGTAATCTTAGTCCCATAAATTATGTAGATATTTTAACCTGTTCACCAAGCGATGCGCACTTTAGATCGTACAATACCTACCTTACGTCCGCTCCAGAAGAGCACTAATTAGATCAGAATTATGTAAAATTGTGTGCCTATGAAAAAAATATTTTTTCGTTTTAAACAAAACCAAAGACACTATGCAATAGATAATAGTATCAAAGACAAAGATATGCTCTTTTATTTTAAGCCAATAACCCGGCAATGTTTCTTAGAAAAAAAAAATAAATCACTCTGAACTTTCGGCGTTCCGCGTGTCGCTTCGATGAAGGTGCTCCGTCTTTTTTATAGAATTTTATATTTGTGTCTGGACTAAAAATGAAAGTATTATACTTTTTTATATTCCTTGTAATATAGTAAACACGTAGATATATAATTTGTGGTATAAAAAGTGAAAAGTAAATTGCCAAAAGTACTTCAAAATCCGGAAGGCCCTTTTTGGCGGTTGGGTCATAAATGTGTTATTTTTCAAATTCTCATTTATTTTTAGTGTAAAATGTAAGTAAAAATAGCTTTCTTACATATTTCAAATAACTTGACGTTGTATTTATTTCAAATTCACACAAAAATATTTTTTGAAATATTGTTCGAAATGTCATACAGATAAAATATTATTATTATTTTTATTTTTTTTATATTTTAATATTGTGGTATGAGTAACGAATGGAAACACATAAAACATAAAAATATACATATTTCCAAACATTTTCATATAAATTTCTCCAAAAACAAAAGTGTAGAATTCAAATTAGTAGTAATTTTGTCACTAAAATTGAAGTATATACTACTACTATGCTATACAGGGTAATTTACGTATTTTATTACATTTTCTAGCAACCAAAAATAATTTTATTCAATAGTTTATACATTCAACAAGAATTCCTGTAAGTTTTATCCATAAATATTGTCTCAAAGTGAAAATATAGCAAAATTTGCAATATAGCAAAAAAATTTTCTAACTTACAAAGGGCATTGCCCATTTTCGGCCATGGAACGCCCAAAAATGTGCATTTGTTAAAAATTATATCTTTATTTATGGTTAATAATCGCTGCATTCATTTATCCTCAAACAATGGGAATATATTTGCACAAATTAAAAGTACCGAAAAGATAATAATAAAAATTAGGTAAATCATTATGTCATTAGTTTGTGAATAATAAAAAGTGTCTTTTTAAGATCTAACCGAAATATACAGACATCGATTCATAATAGTTTATGTGTCGGGGAAGGCGTATGCCAAGTGAAGCACAGAAGAAAAAGTCTTACACTCTTATGACAATGGGGATTTGATATGATGCTGATTCTGCTAGATGATTTTGAGACTGAGAAAGAAAATGGCACAACACAACATGAAAAATTGCTCTTCACACTTAAATAAAAAAACATTAATTGTAATTTTGTATTATTATTAAAAAAGGTACATAATTATTCATTAATCAACAATTGTATATAATTATTTGCACTAGGTAAATCAGCCTTATAATATTAAAATCTTGGCCATGGAATAAATAAACATAATTGTTCACCAATCAATCAAAAATTCAATTCATCATTCAAAAATCAAAATTCATCATCATCGACGCTTTCCAAAATCTGAATGAGTTCTGAGGAATCATTCATGTTGCATTGCTCTACTTTTCTCGGTAATCACTTATGACATCATCAGGGTGTCGTCTATCCTTGATCACGGTGCCCAGTGAACTGATTTTCGATGACGCGCTAAAGATGCGCTAGAGTTGAGATATTAGAATTATTATGTCAAGATGATCTGATAACATTTTTTATTCATGTAGCTAATTATAGTTTTATGTTTCTAACCTTTAATTTTATTCAAATATCAATAATAATAGAAAAAAAAACACCATTGAGCTGAATTTTGGATAGTTTTCAAGAAATCTATGCATCCCGCGTTTGACACTAGCGGTCAACCATAGACGACTTTGGCGTGCTGGACATAGTATTTGCTTTTTTTAAAAAAGTTTGCCAATCACAAAATACATTTAAAAAAATCGATTCTCTTTTTCAATCGATTATTTACGGTGTCATCATTACAGTGCTAATATAATTTTTAAATAATTATTATGTTATGATAATTAAACAAGCGAATTACTAGCTGATTTCCAATGAATTCTTTACACAGTAACAAAACGCTACGGCACAATTTAACTGCTAATCTTAACCGATCTTCTTTGAAAACAGATAAGAACTGTTATTCTTATCTGTTTTCAAAGAAGATCTGTTAAGTTATTCTTATCTGTTTATAACAATACATTTAAAATAGAATCATGTTATGATAACGAAACAAGTTAGTTTCCAGCTGATTTACCTTGAATCCTTTAAACCTTTTTGAGCGCCAAAGTCGCCTATACTTGACCAACACCTGCGGGCCCTGAGCGCCAACGACGTCTATAGTTGACAAAAAACCCGGCTCTCAAAAAATGAAATATAGATATTGGAAAATTATTACAGGTATTTTAATTCTACACTCCTCAAAATAGGAATAACCCAGCAACATGTGAGTATAAAAAACAAGTCTTCTAGAGCCACAATTACTAAGAAACATTGAACTAATAAAAATTGATTTTTATCTAAGCAAATACTATGTCCAGCACGCCAAAGTCGTCTATGGTTGACCGCTAGTGTCAAACGCGGGATGCATAGATTTCTGGAAAACTATCCAAAATTCAGCTCAATGGTGTTTTTTTTTCTATTATTATTGATATTTGAATAAAATTAAAGGTTAGAAACATAAAACTATAATTAGCTACATGAATAAAAAATGTTATCAGATCATCTTGACATAATAATTCTAATATCTCAACTCTAGCGCATCTTTAGCGCGTCATCGAAAATCAGTTCACTGGGCACCGTGATCAAGGATAGACGACACCCTGATGATGTCATAAGTGATTACCGAGAAAAGTAGAGCAATGCAACATGAATGATTCCTCAGAACTCATTCGGATTTTGGAAAGCGTCGATGATGATGAATTTTGATTTTTGATTGATGAATTGAATTTTTGATTGATTGGTGAACAATTATGTTTATTTATTCCATGACCAAGATTTTAATATTATAAGGCTGATTTACCTAGTGCAAATAATTATATACAATTGTTGATTAATGAATAATTATGTACCTTTTTTAATAATAATACAAAATTACAATTAATGTTTTTTTTACTTAAGGTGTGAAGAGCAATTTTTCATGTTGTGTTGTGCCATTTTCTTTCTCAGTCTCAAAATCATCTAGCAGAATCAGCATCATATCAAATCCCCATTGTCATAAGAGTGTAAGACTTTTCTTCTGTGCTTCACTTGGCCTACGCCTTCCCCGACACATAAAATATTATGAATCGACGTCTGTATATTTCGGTTAGATCGATTTTGAAATCGATACACAACATTCTAAGAATGTTTCAAAAAGGAAGGTCAGCTACGCCGTTGTCGTCCAGTCGTGACAGTGTCGTCATTAGGATGGAGAGTAGTGCTGTGGTTTACTACTATTTTATTGTTATTGTTTGTTTTTAAGATATTGCATAGCTTCTATCGCGGGCCTTGAGCGCGGGGACCGAATCCAGAAATTCCGTAACGAAAAAACCTCACGCTCCCCACTCCGACGGGCACGGAGGTGTGGCTTGAAAGCCGTGCATTGTCCTAACGTCGTTTCTTTTCGGCAGTCTTCGACACGGTGTTTGTG